TAGTAACTGTGGGACGACCCCCGTGTCCATGCTCCCTCTCCATAGGATGGAAAAGGCTCGTGATAGGGGCTTCTTGCAGTTCTTGATGAACACAGAGTGCATGGGCATGTCATTTATCGTCTGTTCGAAGTCATTTGGCATCAGGATAACATCAGATAGGCTTGTGTTAATCAAATTTTGTGGCTCTCTCATAAAAAAAATCATTTTGATCTTCGACTCTCAGTCTGGTTAGCGGCTTGCTAAAAACTGAGTCATATTGGGACTTGAGTAGCTCACTCATTTCCTTGCTGTCATCTGTGTAGGACCCATCTTGTTTAAGTAGGGGCCCAATACTGGACGTTGTTCTCGATTTTGATTTGGCATAGGAGAAGAAATACTTTGGGTTTCTTTCGATTTCATTTATGGCTTTTAGTTCTTCCCGCGATTCCTGACTCCTAAAGGATTCTTTTAGCTTAAGTTCGATGCTTGCTATTTCTCTGACCAGTGTCTCCCTACGCATTTCAGATATATTGACCTCTTTTAGCCGCTCTGTTATTCTTTTCCGTCGCCTGTAAAGGGAGCGCCTGTCTCTTTCTGTTTTACATCTACTCCTCCTTTTTCTTAGAGGAATAAGCCTTGTGCATACATCGAGTGCCACCGAGTTAATCTGTTCTAGGCATAAGTTGGGGTCTGTGTTGCTTAATATATCTTCCCAGCTTATATCCGTTAGGACTTGGTTTACTTGGTCCCACTTTGTTTTTGTTATTGAAGTTGAATTTGGTGAATGCTCCCTCGTGACTAATCTCATTATGTCGGTCTGGGGCTCCGCGCATACATGACTGAACCTAAATTATGTTGTGATCTGAGTTTTTGTTTTTGATATGGTGACATTTCTTATCAGTTCATCATTTTTTGTGAAGATGAGGTCTAGTGTATTCTCCAGTCTAGTAGGCTCTATTATTTGTTTGGTTTAAATTGAATTTTGTGCAGAGATTTAAAAGCTCGCGTGAGTGTGAGATTTCATCAGAGCTGCCTCCTGGTGTTATTACTGCAACAATTTATTTGCTATATTCCTCCCATTTAGGTGCCTTAAGTTGAAATCCCCCAGGAGCAAGATGTTGGGTGCAGGAGCTGGAAGGTTTTCCAGACAGGGGTAAATTTTTTTAACAGCTGTTCCTGGAATTGCTGGGATGTTGCATCCGGGGCTTGTAGACTACCACAATGACTGGGTTTTTGGGTTTCTCGACCTTTACTGCTAAAACTTCCACTAATTCATTTGAGGATTTAGCAGTTCTGTGCAAACAAGTGACTCTGCAATGTACGGGCCAACCCCCCCCCTTTCCTGTTCACTCTGTCACATCTGTATAGGTTGTAACCTGGGATCCATATTCGTTGTCCAAGTGATCCTTTATGTGGGTCTCAGTGAAAGCCGCGAACATTGCCTTGGGCCTCTGCAAGCAGTCCACGGATGAAAGGTATTTGTTGTTTGTTGCTGGCTTTAGACCCTGTATTTTTGCAAAGAAGAATGTTATCGGACTGGTGGTATTGTTGGTACTGGGGGGGGATTTTTTTCCGGCATTAGTATCTGTATCTGTTGGTTTGGAGTGGAGGCCATCGACTGTGGTTTCCACTCCAGGAATGACTCGATTTGGTGTACGATTTCTCCCAAATTTCCTGCAAGTTTTTTTTTCCTTCCTGGCACTAAAAAACCTCTCCCTCTTGAGTGGCTGTGGCTACCCGGGTTTTTTCCCATGGCCTGGATGTTTTGTATCTTTTTGTCCCCTTTAGTGGTATGCCTGGCAATTTAAGTTATAGCACAGTCTTTCCTGTACTGAAGAGGTACACAGTTCAGGGTGAAAAAGCTTACAGGAAGGGGTTTGCATTTTCCTGTTGTCATTGGGCATGGCATTTTCTAGGGTGTCATGTTGCACGTCCCATCTGTTTTTCCAGATTCCCATGCCAGCAGATACCGAGTGCATAGTATGTGCACAGGCTGGTTTCCGTTTCCCTTTGGGGTTTTCTGTGACTGTATTCCCTGTTTGGTGCATGTTTCCCTGTCTTACTTTATCCTCCCTAGCACCAACAATGGAGCTCCCCCCAGTTGTTTTTGGTAATATATCCTCACTATTGCTAGTGGAGTCCTTTTGTTTGCTTTTTCCTGCGGTATTTTCTAGTTTGCAATATTGGTTTTATCTTATCTTTGACTACACTTGTTTCCCTACTATGGCTCCTGTCCCCTATGAGGTCATTTATATGTATTCCTTCCTGCGTAAAATTCCCGACTACCTGGACAAAATCTCCCAGCTTCACCATTACTGTCTCCCAGGACAGCATCTCCAGTTTCCCCCATTACTGTCTCCCAGGACAGCATCTCCAGCTTCACCATTACTGTCTCCCAGGACAGCACCTCCAGCTTCACCATTACTGTCTCCCAGGACAGCACCTCCAGCTTCACCATTACGTCTCCCAGGACAGCACTATCAGCCCCCCTTTAACTGACTACCGGACATCATCTCCAGCCTTACAGTTTCTGACTACATGGCCAGTATCAAGGGCAGTACCAATAGCCCAGACTTTTTATGTTCCCATCTGTTGTGGGAAAGCTTCCAGGTTTTCTATGAAAGCAGCTTTGATGTTGACCTCTTTTAATACCCTTGTGATTTTAGTCCACAGATTTATCTCATTTGGGCATACCCAAAAACACTTCCCTGTTTTAATACTGCTTGTAGCTAGTTCTTGGATATCTGCACAAGGGGCGTGACACCAATTTCCACAAAAATGACAATTTATGCATGTGGAAGCCCGTTTGTTTGACTGACCCACAGACTACACACAGCTTCATAATGATTTGAATGGTTGATTTACTGCAATTCTACTAGCAACCTCTTGAATATTCTATTAATAACCTGGTGGCCTTGGTGGCCTGGTGGCTAAAGCTCCCGCTTCACACACGGAGGGCCCGGGTTCGATTCCCGGCGGGTGGAAACATTTCGACACGTTTCCTTACACCTGTTGTCCTGTTCACCTAGCAGCAAATAGGTACCTGGGTGTTAGTCGACTGGTGTGGGTCGCATCCTGGGGGACAAGATTAAGGACCCCAATGGAAATAAGTTAGACAGTCCTCGATGACGCACTGACTTTCTTGGGTTATCCTGGGTGGCTAAACCCTCCGGGGATTAAAAATCCGAACGAAATCTCTTAAATCTAGGTAGTGCACAACGAAACCGTTTGAAACCAGTCCAGGGTTCGGACCAGTCAAGGGTTCGGACCAGTCTATCTGATCTGATCAGTGGGTCACTTATTTAAACCATACTGGTCGGTGATTTGAGCTAACACATGAAGGATCTACTGGAAATTATCTACCCGAGTAATATGTGATTTGATTGATACAAAAGTATAACTTGCGTGTTGAAGAGCCGGTGACTGCTGGCACTCCTACAATGACGAACGGTTAGTTTAATTAGTTTAATATGTTTATTATGCACCCCATACCCATCCTGTGGGCGGTAGTCAAAAGATTACAGAGGTACATAATTGGTCCAGGGACTGGACTCCAAAGTTTTGATAGCTGAGCAAGTTACAAAGGTAATGAACTAGATCTGGTCATAATCATGACCAAGTTACAAAGGTAATGAGCTCCAGGTAGAGCTGGTCACACTCATGAATAATTGCAAAGGTAATGAATCATAAACACATTAATCATGAGAATTTACAAAGGTAATGAGCTCCAGGTAGAACTGGTCAAAATCATGACGAACGGTCGACCTCAACCCTTGTTTATCAATCGCTGTATCTAGCTTCTCTATTTTTTTTCCGTCTCCACCACAATAAATGCTATATTATCACTATAGTTGACTGGTGCAAATTTTGGAGGAAGGACGCTTTTTCTGTAGTAATAATTGCTTCTCGTTGTGTATATTGCGACCGCTGGTAACTACAGGTTATATGAAATTCACATTATACGTCTGGTATTTCAAGAAAAAAGAAACTAATGAAAGTCACTCCACTCCAATAAGTACCATTATAATACTGATTATATACATGATTATATACACCTGGAAAATCCTAGAGGGACTAGTACCGAACTTGCACACGAAAATCACTCACTACGAAAGCAAAAGACTTGGCAGACGATGCACCATCCCCCCAATGAAAAGCAGGGGTGTCACTAGCACGTTAAGAGACCATACAATAAGTGTCAGGGGCCCGAGACTGTTCAACTGCCTCCCAGCACACATAAGGGGGATTACCAACAGACCCCTGGCAGTCTTCAAGCTGGCACTGGACAAGCACCTAAAGTCAGTTCCTGATCAGCCGGGCTGTGGCTCGTACGTTGGTTTGCGTGCAGCCAGCAGCAACAGCCTGGTTGATCAGGCTCTGATCCACCAGGAGGCCTGGTCACAGACCGGGCCGCGGGGGCGTTGACCCCCGGAACTCTCTCCAGGTAAACTCCAGGTACAAAAAAATAAAATGCTGTGATATTTGATATGAAATGCACTGTCAGCACCTCTCATTATCTTTACTATTATTTTATTCATGAGAAAGTTCTGGATTTATGGGATGTTGTAACTTGTCATTACCTTCAGGCTGGAAAGATAAGAGAGAGATGAATAACCACAATGGATGGAGTGCTGGGTATCTAAGATGATGATGAAAGGCAGTACTTGGCTGCTGGTGGTTGCACTCACCCTACAGCAACCCCTTAGGATATATGCGCCACTAACTATGATCACAGAGATGTATATTTACTCCACTACACCTCTGGAAAAACAAATGCCTTCTGCCACACCTCTGGAAATACAAATGCCTTCTGCCACAGCTCTGGGAACACCCACGTCCTCCACTACATCTTTGAGAACACTCCTGCCTCCTGTTATGCCCCTGGGAACACCCATGCCCTCCACTACATCTTTGAGAACACTCATGCCTTCTATTATGCCCATGGGAACACGCACATCCTCCACAGTGCCCATGGGAACACACACTTCTGGAGACACAAAGCCACGCAGCCTCATTACTAGATGTGCTTCTCACACAACCTGACGAGAGTCACTCACACATCGCAGCATGAAGTTAATGTCTTATATGGGGTCAAAGACCTCTCAGAATCCTTTGTGGATATCCTTAACACTGCCAAAGTTAAAACTGTGAATGTTTCCAGTTCAACTGAAGGTATCACCCCAAAGGTTCGTGTCACACTACAATATGAAAACTCAAATCAATTCAAGTTTATTGATAAAAGTAATGATATTAAAACTCTGAAAAGAACAATGAATGACAATATTCTACCTTTTACTGCCCATACACAGGGTAGAAACCAAATGTTTTATCTGCCTGCCAAAGGCCCCATTATCAACTCCAGGGTAGATTATCATTCTTTTGGCATTCTTGAAGATGTTGGTGCATCTGTCTCGCCCACAAGTACAAGATCCTCACAGAAGGATGTGATATCTGTGGTGCAGTGGCCAAGGATCCCGTCATGTCTGCACACACATAACAAAAGCTCCAGTCTTACACAGACATTTAAAGATTAACATCTTCCCATCTCATCTGGCCGATGCAGTCGACCAAAACTGCATCCATTTCCTCTTGATCTTGCAGTTAATATAACATGTCCAGCTGCAAGTCTCACAGAAGTTGCTTTCAGCGAAACCAATAAACTTGTCTACATTGAAGATAAATTGTATTTTTTGTTTGAGCAAACACTGATAACAGATTTCTGTGTTGAATTTGCTTTGGAGAGTAAGAGTGAGCCAAGTGCTGTGTTTTGCTACACACATCCACCAGCAACAGTGATCCTAAGAAGCAAGATCACCACCCATCTAGAAACCCATCAGTTACACAACCCAGGGCAACATGGGTTTAGAACAGGTCGCTCCTGTCTGTCTCAACTACTGGATCACTACGACAAGGTCCTAAATGCACTAGAAGACAAAAAGAATGCAGATGTAATATATACAGACTTTGCAAAAGCCTTCGACAAGTGTGACCATGGCGTAATAGCGCACAAAATGTGCGCTAAAGGAATAACAGGAAAAGTCGGTCGATGGATCTATAATTTCCTCACTAACAGAACACAGAGAGTAGTCGTCAACAGAGTAAAGTCCGAGGCAGCTACGGTGAAAAGCTCTGTTCCACAAGGCACAGTACTAGCTCCCCTCTTGTTCCTCATCCTCATATCCGACATAGACAAGGATGTCAGCCACAGCACCGTGTCTTCCTTTGCAGATGAAAACCGAATCTGCATGCAGTGTCTTCCATTGCAGACACTGCAAGGCTCCCGGCGGAAAATCAACCAAATCTTTCGGGGGGCTGCAGAAAACAATATGAAGTTCAACGATGAGAAATTTCAATTAATCAGATATGGTAAACATGAGGAAATTAAATTTCATCAGAGTACAAAACAAATTCTGGCCACAAAATAGAGCGAAACAAACCCAACGTCAAAGACCTGGGAGTGATTATGTCGGAGGATCTCACCTTCAAGGACCATAACATTGTATCAATCGCATCTGCTAGAAAAATGACAGGATGGATAATGAGAACCTTCAAAACTAGGGAGGCCAAGCCCATGATGACACTCTTCAGGTCACTTGTTCTATCTAGGCTGGAATATTGCTGCACTCTAACAGCACCTTTCAAGGCAGGTGAAATTGCCGACCTAGAAAATGTACAGAGAACTTTCACGGCGCGCATAACGGAGATAAAACACCTCAATTACTAGGAGCGCTTGAGGTTTCTAAACCTGTATTCCCTGGAACGCAGGAGGGAGAGATACATGATTATATACACCTGGAAAATCCTAGAGGGACTAGTACCGAACTTGCACACGAAAATCACTCACTACGAAAGCAAAAGACTTGGCAGACGATGCACCATCCCCCCAATGAAAAGCAGGGGTGTCACTAGCACGTTAAGAGACCATACAATAAGTGTCAGGGGCCCGAGACTGTTCAACTGTCTCCCAGCACACATAAGGGGGATTACCAACAGACCCCTGGCAGTCTTCAAGCTGGCACTGGACAAGCACCTAAAGTCAGTTCCTGATCAGCCGGGCTGTGGCTCGTACGTTGGTTTGCGTGCAGCCAGCAGCAACAGCCTGGTTGATCAGGTGCTGATCCACCAGGAGGCCTGGTCACAGACCGGGCCGCGGGGGCGTTGACCCCCGGAACTCTCTCCAGGTAAACTCCAGGAACGCTGCATTGATCACCAGTGTCTGAACAAGTGCTGTCCGCATGGCTATGTTCTCCAGAAATATTCGTGTGTGTGTGAAGAGACGTCATCACCTTTAACACCGGCACTCTTTGATATTTTCAATGAAAGTAAACAGCTACCAGAGAAGGGGGACACACACAAGTGGGTGCAAATCGGTCTGCCAAACTGCCGCAACCCTGAGGTCATCACAACACACTCCATTATTATTACAAACATCACATTACTTACCAAGGACTCACTGAAGATAGACAACCAGAGCTCCACCATCAGTTACTGTGTAGATCAGTTCATGGAGGAGGGAAACATGACCATAGCAGAAGGTTTGATGGTGTTGCTGTGTCCAGAGACCTCAACCTCACACAAGTCTACCTGGACAGTAAGGTCATATTCTCTTTTGCAGTAGCACAACATTTTACAAATTTAGTTTTTTGTTATGCATTATAAATCCTATGACTAAACCTTTTTCAAGTGCAGTATTATCACAATTACAAAACTGTTAAACCCATAAGCGTCATTTTGAAGTACAGTAATTACATAAACCAGGTTCACCAAGCATCATAACAAACACAAATTGGTTCATCCTGTACTCAGGCTAAATATAAAAAGATACGTAATCTATCAACAACTTATAATTGGACCAATAAGAAGCTGTTTCTTTATAGATGACTTTAAATCTGAGATTTGAAGGAAAAGGGTTATTTATTCTATTTTTAAATGCAAATCCAGTATAGCATTGTTCTCAAATACTTCTGGTTATTACATTTGTACACCACTTCATTTAAAGAGTACCTAACTTCACTGAGCTAATATAATTTGTCTGTATAATCATTTTAAAACCATTCCTACACATTAGACTTATGCAACCTGAGAACACTTGAAAGATGAGACTATCCTTCAGGTGAGAGAGGGTTGGATGAGTCAGTACAGTATCAGAAGGGGGTTATTGGTAGATTGCTTACATAGGTTGAGTGGTACTGACAAATTCCATTTGTTTACTAGTGATACTCTACTTCATAAATGTTAATTTTGAGATACTAAGGTGTAGCATGTTCTTTTTTCTGGCGAGGTCGTATGTGGTGTGCTAATTCCAGCCGGGCTGGTGGTATCGTGTGTGTTCCTGATGGTGACGCTGCTGTCTCACCTGTGTGTGCCGGCCCTCAGAGATCTACACGGGTTGTGTCTAGCTGCCTATGTGTCTGCCCTGCTGCTGGCCGATGCCACACTCTTTGTGACACAAGTGTTCTCTCGATTACTTGCCCCAGCTGCCTGTATCTCTCTGGGTGAGACCTCTACTAACATTCCACCAAGTCACACATACTAGATTTTTTTTTCAGCAGACCAGCTGTCTCTACATAAACAACTCATTATGATTGTGAGGTAAGACACATATGCAACAGTTAGGTATCTTTATTTCGAAACGTTTCGCCTACACAGTAGGCTTCTTCAGTCGAGTACAGAAAAGTTGATAGAAGCAGAAGATACCATTTTAATGTTCATTATGATTGTGACCAGATATAAATATGTAAATAGTTCATTACCACTGTAACTTGTTCAGCTATCAAAACTTTTGTGACTCAGTCCCTGGACCCATTATGTGCCTCTGTAATGTTGAGGTACAGTCTCTGAACCCATTATGTACCTCTGTAATCTTTTGACTACTACCCTCAGGATGGATATGAGGTGCATAATAAAGATGTTAAACTAAAATAACTCTCACCAAGAAAGGGTAACCCAAAAAGAAGAAACACTGTCACTATCACTTACTTCATCATCATCTTGCCAGAGGGGCACACCACTACTAGTTTAAAATGCAAATACCCCCACCCCCACCTTCAGAGTGTAGGCACTGTACTTCGCACCTCGAGAACTCGAGTCCGGCTAACCAGTTTCCCAGAATTCCTACGTAAATGTTACATTGCTCATACTTCGACACAACAGCTAGATATTATTATATCATATTTACATTAAACCTTTATTGTAATCTTTATTAATTATTATAATCAAAAAGAAGCGCTAAGCCACAAGGACTATACAGCAATCTTTATTAAGGAAACATATCCACGATTGGTAACTTTAGATTAACAAAGCTCCAGTGAGCAAAAATTTTATTAATAAAAATGTCCCAAGTGATACACAAGTGTCTTTATACACAAAAAAAAAAATGTACAAAGGATGGAAGATCAATCCTCCATCCACTAACAGCTAGACAAAAGCTGTATTCTTGCAGCCAAGTTTCCCTTCACATGTTAGAGTCTCACTCACTGTTCCTCTACAGCCGTAATCCTCCACGTCACCTTCCTCTCTGCCTTCTTCTGGCTTAACGTCATCTGCTATGATGTCTGGAAGTACGTTGGGTAAGTACCTGTTTCCCCAAATTTTGTATGGACTGAAACCTTGCAAGCAAGAAAGCTGAACCACTGACTGATCAAAGTGCCTAATCAGCCAAATTGTGTGGCTGTGTAGATCTGTGGGGCCTTCATCAAAAGTGTCCCCTCAAGGAAGGTTCCTTGATGTTGGTGAGGGGCTCTTGATTTAGGGAATTGGATCTGTGCTCCAGTTCCCCGAATTAAGCCTGAATGCCTTCCACATCCCCCCCCCCCAGGCGCTGTATAATCCTCCGGGTTTAGCGCTTCCCCCTTGATTATAATAATAATAATTCATCAAAAGTGGTAAAACATGCACTGATATCAGTATGTAAGCATTAAGTTAGTTTGCCTAAAATGCTCATGCATGTTAGTGGCTTTCTTGTGCACTTAACAATATTTTATTACATGTAAGCTACATTTTTTTTTATTCTGCACAAGGAAATAAAATGTTTGTATTATTGTCATGTTTTGGCCATTTGACTGAAGGCTTTTCTTGACCATGTTAATCTTTCCATGTGGATTGTACATTGTACAAAACTTAGTGGCATTTTCTCTCTGGCAGGCTGTCAGTTCAGGCAGTGTCTTTATATCACTCACCAGATGACTTCTGCTGCTTCTTCGTCTATGTTGTGTATGCTTGGGGGTCACCACTTGTGATCGGGGGTGTGACTGTCATCATCCACTCTCTGCCACAGCACATTGATTGGCTTCTCAAGCCAGACTTTGTCCACAACAGATGCTGGTTTAGAGGTATGACTCATTCACCCAGTCTCTTATGTTACCATGGGGAAGTGCTAAAACTTGCTAATATCAGTAGCTTAAACTTGTATAGTCTCATGATCACTTCTCAGCAGATGGGAAGGAGATTTTGGCTTACTTCTATGGACCTATGGGCATCTTGTGTGTGGCCAACACCCTTTTCATATCCCACGCTGGCCTCCGCCTCTACTATGCTGACCAGAAGTGTGACTGTCTCTGGCAACTGCAGGAGCCCAGACCACACCCTCTACCGTACACACATGATGGAGTGAGAGATCTTGTTTGTATACCTGGAGTTTACCTGGAGAGATTTCCGGGGGTCAATGCCCCCGCGGCCCGGTCTGTGACCAGGCCTCCTGGTGGATCAGAGCCTGATCAACCAGGCTGTTGCTGCTGGCTGCACGCAAACCAACGTACGAGCCACAGCCCGGCTGATCAGGAACTGACTTTAGGTGCTTGTCCAGTGCCAGCTTGAAGACTGCCAGGGGTCTGTTGGTAATCCCCCTTATGTGTGCTGGGAGGCAGTTGAACAGTCTCGGGCCCCTGACACTTATTGTATGGTCTCTTAACGTGCTAGTGACACCCCTGCTTTTCATTGGGGGGATGGTGCATCGTCTGCCAAGTCTTTTGCTTTCGTAGTGAGTGATTTTCGTGTGCAAGTTCGGTACTAGTCCCTCTAGGATTTCCCAGGTGTATATAATCATGTATCTCTCCCGCCTGCGTTCCAGGGAATACAGGTTTAGGAACCTCAAGCGCTCCTAGTAATTGAGGTGTTTTATCTCCGTTATGCGCGCCGTGAAAGTTCTCTGTACATTTTCTAGGTCGGCAATTTCACCTGCCTTGAAAGGTGCTGTTAGTGTGCAGCAATATTCCAGCCTAGATAGAACAAGTGACCTGAAGAGTGTCATCATGGGCTTGGCCTCCCTAGTTTTGAAGGTTCTCATTATCCATCCTGTCATTTTTCTAGCAGATGCGATTGATACAATGTTATGGTGATAAATTAGACACATGTGCAACTCTTGGGTATCTTTATTGAGGAAACGTTTCGCCACACAGTGGCTTCATCAGTCCATACATAGGAGAAACTTGAAGAACAGGAGGAGAATGAGGTAATCAGTCCCTCAACCTTGAGTCGATGTGTTCAGTCCATCAATCTTGAGTAGAATACGGCAGATGAGCGGAGAAGCAGCTTGTAAACCGTATGGCAGGAGAGGTGTAGCAGTCATAGGTAGTGTCACATTTGTTCAATGTGGAAGTAGGTTGTGCCCAAGAATTAGGCAAGCGAAGAATTCCTAAGTATTAAGATCCCAAGAAGTTGCAGTGTCTGACAGGTTTGTAGATAAATGGTTCAGAGAACCGACATGTTGATAAATTAGACACATGTGCAACTCTTGGGTATCTTTATTGAGGAAACGTTTCGCCACACAGTGGCTTCATCAGTCCATACATAGGAGAAACTTGAAGAACAGGAGGAGAATGAGGTAATCAGTCCCTCAGTCCCTCTTAATACTTAGGAATTCTTCGCTTGCCTAATTCTTGGGCACAACCTACTTCCACATTGAACAAATGTGACACTACCTATGACTGCTACACCTCTCCTGCCATACGGTTTACAAGCTACTTCTCCGCTCATCTGCCGTATTCTACTCAAGATTGATGGACTGAACACATCGACTCAAGGTTGAGGGACTGATTACCTCATTCTCCTCCTGTTCTTCAAGTTTCTCCTATGTATGGACTGATGAAGCCACTGTGTGGCGAAACGTTTCCTCAATAAAGATACCCAAGAGTTGCACATGTGTCTAATTTATCAACATGTCGGTTCTCTGAACCATTTATCTACAAATGTTATGGTCCTTGAAGGTGAGATCCTCCGACATGATCACTCCCAGGTCTTTAACGTTGGTGTTTCGCTCTATTTTGTGGCCAGAATTTGTTTTGTACTCTGATGAAGATTTAATTTCCTCATGTTTACCATATCTGAGTGGAAATATAAACACAAATGCAGTATAATGTGATCCTTTATTGACAACGTTTCACCCACACAGTGGGCTTTTTCAAGTCACACACGGATCTACCTGGGGTTGGAAGGTACGAGAGTATTTATAGGCATGTTCAGAATGTTGAGGTCAGGTGGAGAATGCTGCATCTGATGATCAACTGGGTGGAGTTATAGAGTCTTGGGTAGCTTGGCAGGAGTATTGGACAAGTTGTGAGTAGACCTTCTGCAGTGTTCTATGTTCTTATGTGGGATAGCGATGAAGAAGTTTCTTGGCGAGTGGTTCAGCTATGTTATAGAAGCCATTGTTCTGGCTTACGTGTCTTTCTAAACCAGCTTTCTGTATGCACAAACAAATGTCACCCATCTCTGTATAAACATTGTTATCATGTGGAAGTAAATCTTTCACTTTGTTGACTAATGAAATTTTTTCTTCATAGATATCTCTGAAAGTAAAGTATCTTAAAATTGAAAAAAAGTTCCTTTAGCAAGTAATTGGCATACTATTATTTTAATTTTTCATTATTGCCTTTTTAATTCTACAATATTGCCAAGAAATCTTTCATGCAATATTTTTTCATTTATTGTTGAGGGCTGACTGGCCTATTAGATAGTTTTTAACTGGGGTTCACTGATTACAGGTTCTGGCAGCGGTTCACCTTGTTTGCAGTGATGGTGGTGTGCTGGGTGATGGAGGTCATCTCCTGGATGGTGGGTCCTGCAGACTCTGAACTCTGGTGAGTCTTTCTTAAAGACATGATACTTGCGCCATCACGTTTCATTTCATTGTACATTACTTAACACCTAAGGCACCTAAAGTCAGTACCCGACCAACCGGGCTGTGGTTCATATGTCAGCCTGTGTGCAGCCAGTAGTAACAGCCTGGTTGATCAGACCCTGATCCACCATGAGGCCTGGTCTCAGACCGGGCCACAGGGGCGTTGACCCCCAAAACCCTCTCCCGGTAAACTCCAGGTTGTAGACTCAAGCAAGGGTCAGATAAAATGAGAATGCTATACCACTATCCCAGCACCACAATGGCAAATATGCAGTGGAACCTACGAGTTTAATCCATCCATTCCTGGGTTTGCTCGTTTGCAGAATCAGTTTTCCTCAAAATTAATTGAAAGGGAATTAATTCGTTCCAGTGGAATTCCAGGCATGAGAAAATACTTTAATAATTTCCCTAATATCAACTCTACAGCTTATTTATCTATCACAATTCATGTAATATGACATACTAAACAATATTAATAACATAGAAACATGATATATACACTAGAATGAATAAAATACATGTCATTATGTATATGGCTAGTGATGGTGACAGCTGCCATTATTGTTGTTGGGGTTTATAGGGCCACCACAGCGGCCATTCCAGCTCCTGACGACATGTGTAGAGATAAGATAAGATAAGATAAGATTTCGTTAGGATTTTTAACCCCGGAGGGTTAGCCACCCAGGATAACCCAAGAAAGTCAGTGCGTCATCGAGGACTGTCTAACTTATTTCCATTGGGGTCCTTAATCTTGTCCCCCAGGATGCGACCCACACCAGTCGACTAACACCCAGGTACCTATTTGCTGCTAGGTGAACAGGACAACAGGTGTAAGGAAACGTGTCGAAATGTTTCCACCCGCCGGGAATCGAACCCGGGCCCTCCGTGTGTGAAGCAGGAGCTTTAGCCACCAGGCCACCGGGCCTAGGATAACCCAAAAAAGTCAGACAGAGTGACTTATAAGTGCTACACTCTTAATGCTGCACTTAATTGCTACACTCTTAATGCTACACTTTGCCACTGCTGCTTCATGTTGTCTGCCACTGCTGCCTCATGATGTCTGCCACTGTTGCTTCATGTTGTCTGCCATTGCTACCTCATGATGTCTGCCACTGCTGCTTCATGTTGTCTGCCACTGCTACCTCATGATGTCTGCCACTGTTGCTTCATGTTGTCTGCCACTGCTACCTCATGATGTCTGCCACTGCTGCTTCATGTTGTCTGTCACTGCTGCTTCACATTGTCTGCCACTGCTACCTCATGATGTCTGCCACTGCTTCTTCATGTTGTCTGCCACTGCTACCTCATGATGTCTGCCACTGTTGCTTCATGTTGTCTGCCACTGCTACCTCATGATGTCTGCCACTGCTGCTTCATGTTGTCTGCCACTGCTACCTCATGATGTCTGCCACTGCTGCTTCATGTTGTCTGCCACTGCTACCTCATGATGTCTGCCACTGCTGTTTCATGTTGTCTGCCACTGCTACCTCATGATGTCTGCCACTGTTGCTTCATGTTGTCTGCCACTGCTACCTCATGATGTCTGCCACTGCTGCTTCATGTTGTCTGTCACTGCTGCTTCACATTGTCTGCCACTGCTACCTCATGATGTCTGCCACTGCTGCTTCATGTTGTCTGCCACTGCTACCTCATGATGTCTGCCACTGTTGCTTCATGTTGTCTGCCACTGCTACCTCATGATGTCTGCCACTGCTGCTTCATGTTGTCTGCCACTGCTACCTCATGATGTCTGCCACTGCTGCTTCATGTTGTCTGCCACTGCTACCTCATGATGTCTGCCACTGCTGCTTCATGTTGTCTGCCACTGCTACCTCATGATGTCTGCCACTGTTGCTTCATGTTGTCTGCCACTGCTACCTCATGATGTCTGCCACTGCTGCTTCATGTTGTCTGTCACTGCTGCTTCACATTGTCTGCCACTGCTACCTCATGATGTCTGCCACTGCTGCTTCATGTTGTCTACCACTGCTACCTCATGATGTCTGCCACTGCTGCTTCATGTTGTCTACCACTGATACCTCATGATGTCTGCCACTGTTGCTTCATGTTGTCTGCCACTGCTACCTCATGATGTCTGCCACTGCTACCTCATGATGTCTGTCTGCTGCTTCACATTGTCTGCCACTGCTACCTCATGATGTCTGCCACTGCTGCTTCATGTTGTCTACCACTGCTGCTTCATGTTGTCTGTCACTGCTGCTTCATGATGTCTGCCACTGCTGTTTCATATTGTCTGCCACTGCTACCTCATGATGTCTGCCACTGCTGCTTAATGTTGTCTGCCACTGCTGCTTCATGTTGTCTGTCACTGCTGCTTCATGATGTCTGCCACTGCTGTTTCATATGTCTGCCACTGCTACCTCATGATGTCTGCCACTGCTGCTTCATGTTGTCTGTCACTGCTGCTTCATGATGTCTGCCACTGCTGTTTCATATTGTCTGCCACTGCTACCTCATGATGTCTGCCACTGCTGCTTAATGTTGTCTGCCACTGCTGCTTCATGTTGTCTGTCACTGCTGCTTCATGATGTCTGCCACTGCTGTTTCATATGTCTGCCACTGCTACCTCATGATGTCTGCCACTGCTACCTCATGATGTCTGCCACTGTTGCTTCATGTTGTCTGCCACTGCTACCTCATGATGTCTGCCACTGCTGCTTCATGTTGTCTGCCACTGCTACCTCATGATGTCTATCACTGATGTCATCAAAGAATCGAACATTTCTGCTATTTTGAGCTCAATTTCAAGGTACTTTTCATCGTGAAACCAATTAAAATCGTATTTATTTTTGTAGTATATCTTCCATTCTATCACATGAGACCAAATAAAACGAGAATACAAGCATAAAAACCATATGAAAATATACCACTAAGGGGAGGCTAATGGCTGAGAAGTGAACTCCGTTATTTATGGTCTGATTTAATTTTTTGGTGTACGTTAAGAAGCATCTTTTCATCATACATTGCCCAAGTTGCAATAAGATAGTCCAACAAACAACTGAGATCCAATTCCCTAGAACAAGAGTTAGAGCCCCCTCACCAGCGTCAATTAACCTCCCTTGAGGCCTGCTCGCATCTAGAAATTTTGTTCGCGTCTGGAAGCAAAAAATCGACCGAGCAGCTGCTCGTATCTGGAAAAACTCGCACGTGGATGCACTCATAAGTAGAGGTTCCACTGTGTATATTGAAATGAAGATTTTTGCTTAATATATCAAGCCCACATGACACCTTGTTTAATAAGTGAAATACTAAAATTAGTTTTCTGCACAAAGTTGGGGAACAATGGAATTTATTACCACTGTAGGTAGTAAGTTCTATAACCATAAACATTTTAAGCAACAATATGATAAATTAATTACATGAATCCTCGTGAGACTGTCTTCACGGTGTTTCATCTCACCCAAGTTGTTACACTGACAACACTGTATAATCTCTACTCTGCATTATACTGTAGCTAAAGTTTCATGTTCAGAGGTACAGTACTCTAAGAGGAGTACAATTAAAACACCAAAATTACCTAACATTAACTTTGGGCACTCATTGTTATTACAAAGAAGTTTAAATAACTTAAACCTGATGTAGGAGCCTTGTATTAGAGATAGAATATCTGGGATAAAACTTTTTTTTTTTTTTTACAGCTATGATTCCAGGTACAGACAAAAAAGCATTTTTTCCACAGTGAATGATCAATAGACTAGAGAAAGTGTAACAATCACAATTTTTTAAAATTTTATGTTACACTAATATAATTTCCTAAACTGCAGGACCTCAGCTTATTCATGTACTGTACATAATTTTTTTCCAGAAGTTGATTCCCATCTTTAATAAGAACTCTCTTGCAGGGCCTTAACTGACACCCTGAATGCCTTTCAAGGAGTATTCATCTTCATGATGTTCTTGAGGAGCAACAAGAAGCGACGACTGCTGCTGGAAACATTACTGCGGTGGTCAGAGAATGCGCGTCTCACCCACCTACATTTTCCTCTGTGTATCAGTCCTACGCCTCTATTGCACCAGTTAAGAAATTTAGCAGTACTATCACCTTTTATCAGATGCTTCAGCAGATCATATCTTATGAGTCAACAAGTCCTCAGTAATATCATCAAGGGCAAGACAAAGACAACACAAAGCTTCAATAAAGAAACCTTGAAAATGAAGTGTCTGACATGAAAAATGACACGAAGCAACATGTTTGTGACAAGAACTTCAACAAGAATTTCAACCCTATCTGGACATTACCACAGTGGAAATCTCGCTGGTCCAAGACTTACTTTCCTAAAAACTTTGGCAATAATGACCAAAATTGTAATGAGCTACAAGAAGAAATGGTATATGAAAACCACACAGACCCCCTTAACTTGTTCTCAAATTATGAGGAGGAACTGACTGCACCAGATACCTCCATGGAGCAGCGTTCGTCATTCACTAACTGGAGCATCCTGCGACTGAAGACAGGTTCCATGGATCTGGCTGTAGGTGAGAACACTTGTGGTGATGTTGATGGTGGTGAAGTGGTGTGCCAAAACCTCAAAAGGAAAGACCTTTAAAACCTTCATAATATAAAGACAACTGGTGCTGACATCTGTGTAGCACACTGCAATGATCAAGACTTTACAAAAAATTTTTTTGAAAGACTACTGTCATGACAGACCACATTCAAAATTAAAAAACTATAAAAAATAATTGACGAGCAAGCCTTTGTAGCACAATAACTGATACAATATGAGGCCAAAACTATAGACTAAGCTCCATGGGAAAATGGAGGAGATACCTTCCTCCATAAGCCATGCATGTCGTAATGGACTCAATACTGGGAGCAAGGGGCTAGTAACCCTTTTTCCTCTATGAATGACTAAATGTAATAAGAATTTAAACTTTTATTTCTTTTCTTTGGGTCCCTTGTGGCTTAGCACTTCTTTTTGATTATAATAATAATAATAATAATTTTCTTTGGGTCACCCTGCCTCAGTGGGAGATGGCCAGTGTGTTAGAAAAAATATAAAACCTATAGATTAAGGAAGAAGTGTTTCACAAGCAGAGGATCAGAACAAATGGGAAATTTTAAAACCACCATGAATCTAAAAAGATTACAATAGACTAAGTATTGAAGATATTCCTCAGTAAACCAAGCTCTGTTCCTGTAGCTATAAATAGATAGGTGAAGACAAATAATAGGATAGGCTCAGTTTACATTCTATTTGACTGTTCGTTAGCATAATACACAAGTTATTATTTTTTAACACGATGGACATCTCCCACCAAGGCAGGGTGCTTCGAAAAAGAAGAAACAAAAGGTTTCCTTCTTTTTACATTTAGTAATGTATACAGGAGAAGTTACTAGTCCCTTGCTCCAGGCATTTTAGTCACCTCTTACGACATGCATGACTTACAGAGGAAAGATTCATCTACACTTACCCATGCAGTTTTTATATTACTATTATATTCATGGGGAGGTATTATATCTGTAAGGTAATCAGGTATGATCTAAGGAGGGAGAGGAGGGGACTAATTTTTTATTATTAACACATCAGCCATTTACCACCAAGGTAGGGTGGCCCCAAAAAGAAAAACTTGATCATCATTCACTCCATCAGTCTTGCCAGAGGTGCACTTACACTACAGTCATAAAACTGCAACATTAACACCCCTCCTTCAGAGTGTAGGCACAGTACTACCCACCTCCAGGACCCAAGTCCGGCCTGCCGGTTTCCCTGAATCATTTCATAAATGTTACCTTGCTCATATTCGAACAGCACATCAAGTCCTAAACACCATTTGCCTCCACTCCTATATAACATCCTCACACGTGCTTACTGGAAGTCCAAGCCCCTCACACACAAAACCTTTACTCACTCCCTCCAGCCTTTCCTAGGCTGACCCCTACCCCACCTTCATTCCACTACAGATTTATACATTCTCCAAATCATTCTGTTTTGTTCCATCCTCTCTAAATGTCCAAACCACCTCAACAACCCCTCCTCAGCCCTCTGGATAATACTTTTAGTAACCCCACACCTCCTCCTAATTTCTAAACTATGGATTCTCTGCATTATATTCATACCACACAATGCCTTCAGACATGACGTCTGCACTGCTTCCAACCTTCTCCTTGTTGCAACATTCACTTCCCATGCTTCACACCCATATAAGATTAGATTTTGCCACCGAAGTGGCTAGTTTATTGTGCACCCCATATCCATCCTGTGGACAGTAGCACAAGAGCATATGGATACATAAAAGGCCTAGGAACTAGGCCCCAAACAGGGTTAGCAGGTGTACATATGGGCGTTTATTTATCTACAGATCTAAAGTTCACTTATCTGTTACATGCAGATTTAGGAAATTTGCTTAGTATATCTGGTATCTTATTTTCATTAATAAGATATCTTGACATGTCACATAGGTTATTATACTGTCTCTGTATTCCTCAGTAAGTGGACAATTAAGCACATAGTGTTCAAGACAGTGACCATATGCCTGATCACATAATTTGCATTTAGTTTGATCATTATATGTGTGTCTCCCAAACTGCCAGAAGTACTTGTAACCAAGCCTAAGCCCGGCCACTACAACATCAGTCAGTCTGTTCACATTGCAAGTTGCTCCATAAACATACTTATCTACATTCATGTTATCATAGTGGGTTATAAATCTACTCGGGCTTCTAATTGCATTCCTATAACAATCATTTTCATTATTTACTTCTCTCTTTCTATTATTCCTAATGCTAGACAGATATACCAAAGTTATATTCTACATTCTCCTTCTGGGTACTCTTCTTGGCTAACATATCAACTTTATCATGAAGGAGTAATTCAATGTGTGATGGGATCCATAGCAATTTTACATTATTCCTTTGTCCCTGATTTTTGAGTATCTATACCTGGCCTCTCCAATGAGCATGTTGTTGGAGTCATTATATGAGTCAAGAGCCTTCAATGTTCTTTGTCTCCACAGACTCCATAGTGCACCACTCACCTTTTTACCCTCATCAGTTCTATGATTCACCTCATCTTTCATAGACCCATCTACTGACACATCCACTCCCAAATTTATGAATACATTCACCTCCTCCATACTCCCCCCCCTCCCTCCAATCTGATATCCAATCTTTCGTTACCTAAATTTTTTTTTACCCTCATCACCTTACTCATTCCTATATTCACTTTTAATTTTCTTCTTTTACACACCCTACCAAACTTCTCTTTAGAATCTTCCAAATGCACAGTGTCATCAACAAGAGTAAATGTGACAACTCCCACTTTGTGTTAGATTCTTTATCTTTTAACCCTACACCTCTTGCCAACACCCAAGCATTTACTTCTCTGACAACCCCATCTATAAATATATTGAACAACCATAGTCATATCACACATCCCTGTCTAAGGCCTAACTTTACTGGGAAATAATCTCCCTCTCTCCTTCATACTCTAACCGGAGCCTCACTGTCCTCGTAAAAACTCTTCACTGCTTTCAGTAATCCACCTCCTATTCCATACATTTACATCTGTCACATTGCCTTCTATCCATCCTATCATATGCCTTTTCCAAATCCATAAATGCTACAAAAGCCTCTTTGCCCTTATCTAAATAATGTTCACCTATGTTTCACTGTAAACACTTGGTCTACACACCCCCTACCCTTACTAAAGCCTCCTTGTTCATCTGCTATCCTGCTCTCCGTCTTACTCTCAATTCTTTCAGTAATAACTTTACCAGGTATACTTTACAGGCTTATTCCCCTATAATTTTTACACTCTTTTGCCCCCTTTGCCTTTATACAAAGCAACTATGCATGCTCTCTGCAAATCCCTAGGAGCCTTACCCTCTTCCGTACATTTATTGTGCAGATCAAAAGCGGTACACCAGCATCAAGGCAATCCTCTAACCCTTCAAGAGTGGTAAATGACTGAAAGAAAGAATAAGTCACAATATTGTGGCTGGAACAATTCACAAATCACCGAAACTTGGAAGAGAAACTTGAAGCAATGTATATGACCATCCCAGATCATTATTGAGTTTAGTTTTGTCTAGTTTCCCTTCAATTTGTGGGTTTATTGTGAGCTAATATGAGTTGCAGCCCTTGTGGTTTGGCACTTCTTTTTGATTATAATAATAATAATATGAGTTGCAGCTAATAAACCACACAGACTTTTCCTAGAAATAATAGTTCATATAAACCTTCTTACATTATAATAAACCAAAACTTTACAAATACAAATGTATATAAAAAAAACCATGACATCTTAACATTTATTTTAAAGATACAAAATATTTATTTACAAAAACCATCTCTGTAGTACTTAATTTACAATACAAAATCCTTACAAAATATATATTATTTACACTTTATACATTATGTAAATACTGATTTACAGGCTTATATAGGCCCTTTTTCTTATTTTTCATTGTAAACATTAAAAACCTTAATGAACATTTATTAAAATGTAGTTTAACAGTATATTCTTCTCTCAATTCTATATTTTTAAGTATTATATTTGCACTAACAAAATACAGTACTGTCCATCAAAAAAATCCCCAACTTTTTGAAAATTTACAGCATGAAATTTTCTTGCTTACAAAAAATGAGATTACTGAGTAGACTACTGCATTACATATTGTTATTACCATGCTAAGATGATTGTCCATATAATTACCACTTCATATGTCAACAGTGCTTGTAGTAGCTCATTCTGCTAACATCCAAACAACCTGGGCTCACGACTCATGAAATCGTAATAACATGATTGACAACAATCAGGGATCAGGGAACAGGCCAATTAAGTCAAACCGGCGAGTTTGGCCTGTTCGGCAAGGGTATTCCGAGCCAAATTAGCAGTATGAAAATTTGTTTTTGCCATAAATCAGTGAAAATCAATCTGTATGTAACAAAAAAAAAATACATGTCATTGATTCTGAACCCATGGCAAGTTAGTTTTGGGACTCACTTGTCATGGGTTTAAACTCCACCTGTTCCATGGTTTGACATATGGGTAAGTCTGTTAATACCCGCTGCCCCTGGTCACCTGGCTGGTGTTAGTGGTTCACACTGCTGGGGAAGAGGACCCAGGAACCCCACTGGAAATAGGTCACATTGCTTAGCTTTCTTAAATTATCCTTGTCTATTAATCCTCCAGGGTCAATAAACCACAAAAACTTTTGATGTGAAGTCAAAAAAGTCCAACAGTAAGATCCATTGTGACTGAGGCTTCAAGTCAACAGGTGAATATCAAGACATGTAATGCAGAAGACATCTATATTTGAATAACTAAATTTAAAAAGAAACACGTTCTTCGTTTTAGGTCATCCTGCTTGGTGGGATACAACCAGTGAGTTAAAAAAAAAAAAAAAGTCTATTTTAGTCAACATGTTACACAGGATTAAGCTTTATCAAGTCTTGAGAAATCTCTTGATAACACTTCCTCTGCATTATATCTTTATACTCACCAAATATAATTTTCACTTTAGCTAACACAAACAAATGTATATAACAGAGTTAAGTTTTGGCAAGAATTAAGCAAGTGATATTTTACAAAAGCTTTGGTTTGTCAGTGAGTGAAATATTGGTAAAAGGAATATCAGCAAACACTATCTTGCATGAACATCATTATAATTACATTCAATAGACCCCTGGCTGTCTTCAAGAGGGAGCTGGACAGGCACCTAAAGTCAGTAGCTGACCAGCTGGGCTATGGTTCCTATGTTAGTTTGTGTATGGCCAGCAGTAACAGCCTGGGTGATCAGGCCCTGATTCACCGTGAGGCCTAGTCATGGACTGGGCTGCGGGGACATTGACCCCCAGAGCACCCGCCAGGTATTGATGGAAGGCATTCACGCTTGATTCAAGAAATTGGAGCATTGTTCCAATTCCTTAGATCAAGAGCCCCTCACCAACACCTTGCATGAAGCCTAGTATAAACCACATCAGACATCACTCTCCGTACTCTGAGTCATCAGAGTAAGAGGTGATACCAAGTGTTGATTCAAGGAACACACTGATTTATGGAACACACTCACAAGGAGACATAAGGGAACTAGAATAAAGACACTGTTATAGGGTTACAGGACCCAGTATGTATCTACATACCTATGTAGCAGGAAGAGATGTATTATTTGTAATATGTACCCAGTGATATTGAACTGCTGGGGGCACAACTGCCTTGATTTTGTCATAAAAACTGATCACTCTAATGGGGAGAGGCTATGATAGACTTGGTAACATGCATGCTGCTAACAAATCCTTCTATTTTCTACATGATGAGTAAGACATATGCGCAACAGTTTGGTATCTTTATGGTTGAGATGTTTCGCTTGTGGCCTGGTAGGTGAAGCTCTCACTTCACACGCTGAGGGTCCAGGTTCAGTTCCCAGCAAGGGTGGAAACATTGTGTGTGTGTGTTTCCTTACACCTGTTGTCCCTGTTCAACCATCAGAAAATGGGTACCTGGGTGTTAGTCAACTGGTGTGGGTCACATCCTGGGACAAAATTTACCTAATTTGTCCAAAATGCTCTTAATAAAAAGAGCTTTCTATATAGTAGTACAGCCTCTCCTCACTTAACGATAAAGTTCCGTTCCTAAGACCACGTCGGTAAACAGATTCGTTGCTAAGCAAGGAGCATACTATAATGGTAGTGGGTTTGTGTCAATCATCTTTGATATTGTTTTAATGTTATCTTTGCACCATTTTTAACATTTTTAGTATATTTTTAAATGTTTATTTAGTAGTGTACTGTATACTGTAATAAACAAAACAGAGGAAATCAGCTCTAATATACATTATTTAGGTATGCATACTGGTCAGAGAGCCTGTCGTAAGTCCGAGTCATCAGTAAACGAGTATGTTGCTAAGTGAGGAGAGGCTGTGTCATTGATGTCAGCTAGGCCTGTATACCTTGTACAAATAAAGATATTAATTTAATATTAATGCACAGGTGAAACTTTTCAACAATAGATACCCAACTGTTGCAGATGTATCTAACTCATCAACTTTAGTGATCAAGATCCAAGAACCAAGACTTCTTCACTGAAAGTGTCTGAAGTGAATGCAATCATGGCCATTTCCTTCAAGTTATCGGAGTCACATGCCGTCTATCACAGGAAGACACTTTAACAGAAAATGAAGGAATGTTTTATGAAGTATTGTACAGGTAATAAGTAGGAAAGTAAAGACACAGATGCAGAAGCCTTAATTGGGACAATGTTTAGCTCTGTGTAGAGCTTTAACTGACTCACAATCTAATAAAGCTCTACACAGTGCAAGCTGGAGGCATTATGCTGACAGCTGGTGAAAAGAGACTGACTGCAGTGAAGTCCTTCACAGGTACAACATTTCACCCATAAGTGGACTTTTTCAATATACAGTGGACCCTCGCATAACGCTATTAATCCGTTCCTGAGAGCTCAATGTTAGGCAAAATTGTCGTTAGGCAAATTAATTTTCCCCATAAGAAATAATGGAAATCAAATTAATCGGTGCAAGACACCCAAAAGTATGAAAAAAAAAAATTTTTACCACATGAAATATTAATTTTAATACACACAAACTGAAGAAGATATGCACAGTTACATGACACTTACCTTTATTGAAGATCTGGTGATGATTGATGGGATGGGAGGAGGGGAGAGTGTTGATGGTCTTAGTGTTTAGAAGGGGAATCCCCTTCCATTAGGACTTGACGTGTCAAGTCCTTTTCCGGGGTTACTTCCCTTCTTCTTTTAATGCCACTAGGACCAGCTTCAGAGTCACTGGACTTCCGTCACACAACATATCTGTCCATAGAGGTCTGTACCTCCCGTTCCTTTATGACTTTCTTAAAGTGGTTCACAACATTGTCAGTGTACAGGTTGCCAACACGGCTTGCAACAGCTGTCTGAGGGTGATTTTCATCCATAAAGGTTTGCACTTCAAGCCACTTTGCACAGATTTCCTTAATCTTTGAAGTAGGCAACTTCTTCAATTTCTCTCTTCCCTCCTCCGAAGCAGTTTCCTCAGGTGTGGCCTCTTGCTGTTGAAGATGATCTAGCAGCTCATCACTGGTTAATTCTTCATTGTCCTCCTCCACCAACTCTTCCACATCCAACCCCAAGGACTTCTCCAGTGCCACAATTGTTTCCTCAACTGGCATACACCCCTCAGGGTTAGCCTCAAATCCTTCAAAATCCCTTTGGTCTACACATTCTGGCCACAGTTTCTTCCAAGCAGAGTTTAAGGTCCTCTTAGTCACTCCCTCCCAAGCCTTACCTATAAGGTTTACACAATTGAGGATATGAAAGTGATCTCTCCAAAACCCTCTTAGAGTCAATTGAGTTTCTGAGGTCGCTACAAAGCACCTTTCAAACAGAGATTTTGTGTACAGTTTTTTGAAGTTTGCAATGACCTGCTGGTCCATGGGCTGCAGGAGAGGAGTGGTATTAGGAGGCAAAAACTTGACCTTAATGAAGCTCATGCCCCCACAAAGTCACTCTGCCAAGTCTGTAGGATGACCAGAGGCATTGTCTAACACCAGGAGGCACTTAAGATCTAATTTCTTTTCAATTAGGTAATTTTTCAAAGTGGGGGCAAATGCATGGTGTAACCAGTCATAGAAAAAGTCCCTAGTGACCCATGCCTTACTGTTTGCCCTCCACAGCACACAAATTAGTCTTGATATTCTTTTGCCTGAACACTCTGGGAGTTTTAGAGTGATACACCAATAAAGGCTTCACTTTGCAATCACCACTAGCATTGGCACACATTAACAGAGTAAGCCTGTCTTTCATAGGCTTATGTCCTGGGAGTGCCTTTTCCTCCTAAGTAATGTAGGTCCTGCTTGGCATTTTCTTCCAAAACAGGCCTGTTTCGTCACAAACACTTGTTCAGGTTTCAATCCTTCACTGTCTATGTACTCCTTGAATTCCTGCACATATTTTTCAGCTGCTTTGTGGTCCGAACTGGCAGCCTCACCATGCCTTATCACACAATGTATGCCACTATGCTTCTTAAATCTCTCAAACCAACCTTTGCTGGCCTTAAATTCACTTACATCACCACTAGTTGCAGGCATTTTTCTAATTAAATCGTCATGCAACTTCCTAGCCTTTTCACTTATGATCGCTTGAGAGATCCTATCTCCTGCTATCTGTTTTTCGTTTATCCACACCAATAACAGCCTCTCAACATCTTCTATCACTTGCAATCTCTGTTTCGAAAACAAAGTTGCACCTTTGGTAAGAACAGCTTCCTTGATTGCCGTTTTCTTGGACACAATAGTAGCGATGGTTGATTGGGTTTTCTATACAACCTGGCCAGCTCGGAGACACGCACTCCACTTTCATACTTAGCAATGATCTCTTTCTTCATCTCCATAGTAATTCTCACCCTTATTCCTGTAGGGTTGGCACTAGAAGCTTTCTTGGGGCCCATGGTCACTTATTTTGCAGGTGAAATCACTAAAAACACTGTAATAATACAAAATGTTCCGATTGTATGCTCGGATGTTACCGCGGAGGCTGGCTTGTAAACAATGCCACTGGCGGAACAAGTGAGGCTGCTCAGGCCGCACACAGACGCGTCTCGGACGAATCGCGTTGAACGAGTTTTTTAGCGCTAGGCGAGGCAAAATTTTAGCGATAAAATGTATCGCTAGGTGGATTTAACGTTATGTGATGCCAACATTAGGCAGGGGGTCCACTGTACATGTACTTCAAAAATTATTGTACTAATAATTTCAGCTTCACAGAGTAAAGTGTTGTCCTCATGCATCAAGAAGGGATGCTGCACTTCAGATGGTCATTTAAATTGTGATGTACAAACACTTACAGCAAGACAGCTATTGACCAAGTAATGGTGGATGAGTTTCCTTCCCAGGTTGACCCTACCTTCAAGGAAAAAAAAGGTAAAAACAGGGAGTATAGCATCACATATTTCAGCCTTAAATTGAAACTGAGGTGAACTGAAGAGGGCCTCTGGGTGGAGCTGAAACATGCTACTTATATAACATTATTGTCTCCATGTGGATGTGTTTGCACCATTGACCAGTGTTTGTTATAGTTCTGTGGTTAAATTAAGTGATGTTATAAGACATTTGACATAGCATTAAAGGTGTCTTGCTATGAATGACTTAGTGATATGCAAGTTAACAAATCTTTCTGTTTTCTACTTGATGAGTAAGATACATGTGCAGCAGTTGGGTATCTTTATTGGTGAAATATATCACCTATACAAAATGTGTCATTGTACTCAACATGTATCTTACTCATCAACTTGTCAGTGTTGTATGCCATTTTCAACATATTTTCTACTTGCACGAGAGAGTTCATTACACGAAGGATACTGTAGCTCGGCAAATATAAAGGTTCATCTGGGCAGTCGCTACATCATGTGGACGATACTGTAAGTAGACTACATCAAACTCTCGACCAATAGGCAAAGTTGTGGCTTTGGCTATGATAACTTAATACTATATGGTAATTACACTTACATCTGCTATATTATTACCTATGTAGTACATACATGGGCTTTGGCAAGTCTAGCAATCATGATGAATTCTCAAATATCATGATAGGATCATGATTTCAAAAACTCGTATTAAAGGTGCTCCTTAATTTACAATGAGGTTACATTGCGACACACCCATCTTAAGTAGAAAATATCGTGAGTCAAAAATGAATGTATATGCTAAATAAATAAGTAAATAAATAACTAGTGTCACTGAATAAGTAAATAAACAAATAATTAATGTAACTAACTAAATACTAGTAAAAGTAAATGTATGAATATAAGTTATGGACCTGTCACCTTCATGCTGGGTAATTATCTCAAGTTTCATCTCCAAAATAATTGCTTTTGCACCATCGTAAGTTGAAATATCGTAAGTCGAACCATCGTAAGTATAGGAGCACCTGTATATAAGAGAGGTTCTCTCATACTCTTAACTGTAGGGAAACTGAACAAATGTTTTCCTAAACAACTGCATCATGTCACATCATGTACACTTAGATGAAATAAACAAACTCAAGAAAACACAATATTTGGTTTCAAGTCTTTGAGTCCCTTCAGGTCATAATACCTGCATTGAAAAATCTTATTTCCTATGTTACAAAGTAATAAACTGGCACAGTAATAGAAGAATTTTAATTTCTTCAAACTACATAGACACTGAGGTTTCCTTCCTTCCTGATGGGTCCCTGGGCCTCCTGCAAGATTCGAAGTCTTGGCCCCATAGGAATGCCAATCTTCTGCAAGCGCTCTTCTGTTAAGTACGGAAGCTCCAGCATCCCAATCTTCTCCTGTTCGAACAAACCAGCGTACTTCTGTATGGAGGAATTTCATGGTTACCCAAGTGTTGTGTTGAATGTATGAGCACTCAAACTAAGTCTTTTAACATGACTAAGTAATCCACTTTTCTTTTTTAATATGCTGGCCATCTTCCACTGAAGCAGCGTGACCCGAGAAAGAAACGCTCACCATCATTCACACTATCTTCGTCTTGCTAGAGGTGCACAGATATGACAGTTCAGAAGTCAGTCTAAACAGCAAATATCCTAAACCCCTCCTTTAAAGTGCAGGCATTGTACTTCCCACCTCCAGGACTCAAGTCTGGCTAATCAGTTTCCCTGAATCCCTTCACAAAATATTACCCTGCTCACACTCCAACAGCTCGTCAAGTCCCAAAAACTATTCATCTCCACTCACTCATTCCTATCTAACATGCTCGCACATGCCTGCTGTATGTCCAAGCCCCTTGACCACAAAACCTCCTTTATCCCCTCCTTCCATCCTTTCCAAGGACAACCCCTACCTCTCCACTACAGATAAAAAGAGAAAAAGCCTTCAGTTACGAGCTTAAGAATTATGGAAGAGATCGAGTGCCCTGCCAACCACAACTTATACACACTATATTTTGTGATCATTTATTTTTAGCAACAGGAGCAGAGCTATGCTGTGATGTCCTGACTTCAATAAGTTATGATATAATTTTAGCTAGATTTGAGTCTTGGAGGTGGGACTCAGAACGATGGGTAGTGATGTTACAGTCCTGGAGGATGGGTGAGGATGTTACAGTTTTGGAAGTGGAAAGTACAGTGCTTGCACTTTGAAGGATGGGTGGTGATGTTACAGTCCTGTAGGTGGGAAGTACAGTGCCTGTACTCTGAAGGATGGGTGAGGATGTTACAGTTCTGGAGGTGGGAAATACAGTGCCTACACTGTTCCTGATAACTGAACAACATAAATGGGTATTTTGCTCACTTCCAGAGCATTTCCCATATAACTGGGCCCTTCTGGATAGTGCTCTCTCTAACACAGTTGTTATTCTGGTATAGCACTGTTATTATCTGTATCACACTTGCATGCCTCTCGTGTGGCAGACTTACTGTAGAAGTGTCGTTACCTTGTAGCCTCACAAGTCTAGTTACCATTCATCACAATGGCTGCAATTCACTGCCATGGCTGCCTTCTAATGTCATATTTACTGCAGTTTTATTACACTTTACACAAATAATCTGCACATAGAATAAGACTTACGACAATGTTTCAGTCTCTACGTGCAGGTTATTTGTGTATTGTTCCAGTCATGGTACTGTGTATTTTTGTTCTTTACACTTCTTTGTTCATGAGGTAGAGAGGTGTATTTGTTATCATTGCAGTATCTTATAGAGGATGGACCTCCTTATATAGCAGGTTAGGTTCCAGGCTACTTTTGTAAAGTGAAACATAGCCTTTTTTCACTTTCAAATGCATATAAAAGCCTGATTACATATTTACATTATCATATATTGTCACCGTGGTTGTTCAATATATTTATAGATGGGGCTGTAAGAGGAGTGAATGCAAGGGTCTTGGCAAGAGGCGTGGAGTTAAAAGATAAAGAATCAAACACAAAGTGGGAGTTGTCACAGTTGCGCTTTGCTGATAACACTGTGCTTTTGGGAGATTCTGAAGAGAAGTTGCAGAGGTTGGTGGATGAATTTGGTAGGGTATGTAAAAGAAGAAAATTAAAAGTGAATATAGGAAAGAGTAAGGTGATGAGGATAACAAAAAGAGTAGGTGATGAAAGATTGGATATCAGATTGGAGGGAGAGAGTATGGAGGAGGTGAATGTATTCAGATATTTAGGAGTGGACATGTCAGCAGATGGGTCTATGAAGGATGAGGTGAACCATAGAATTGATGAGGAAAAAAGGGTGAGTGGTGCACCTAGGAGTCTGTTGTACCAACATTCTTGTATGGGTGTGAAGCATGGGTGATGAATGTTGCAACAAGGAGGAGGCTGGAGGCAGTGGAGATGTCACGTCTGAGGGCAATGTGTGGTGTGAATATAATGCAGAGAATTCATAGTTTGGAAATTAGGAGAAGGTGTGGGATTACCAAAACTATTATCCAGAGGGCTGAGGAGGGGTTGTTGAGGTGGTTCGGACATGTAGAGAGAATGGAACAAAACAGAATGACTTCGAGAGTGTACAAATCTGTAGTGGAGGGAAGGCGGGGTAGGAGTTGGCCTAGGAAGGGTTGGAGGGAGGGAGTAAAAGAGGTTTTGTGTGCGAGGGGCTTGGACTTCAAGCAAGCATGCATGAGCGTATTTGATACCTGGAGTTTACCTGGAGAGAGTTTCGGGGGTCAACGCCCCCGCGGCCCGGTCTGTGACCAGGCCTCCTGGTGGATCAGCGCCTGATCAACCAGGCTGTTGCTGCTGGCTGCACGCAAACCAACGTACGAGCCACAGCCCGGCTGATCAGGAACTGTCTTTAGGTGCTTGTCCAGTGCCAGCTTGAAGACTGCCAGGGGTCTGTTGGTAATCCCCCTTATGTGTGCTGGGAGGCAGTTGAACAGTCTCGGGCCCCTGACACTTATTGTATGGTCTCTTAACGTGCTAGTGACACCCCTGCTTTTCATTGGGGGGATGGTGCATCGTCTGCCAAGTCTTTTGCTTTCGTAGTGAGTGATTTTCGTGTGCAAGTTTGGTACTAGTCCCTCTAGGATTTTCCAGGTGTATATAATCATGTATCTCTCCCTCCTGCGTTCCAGGGAATACAGGTTTAGAAACCTCAAGCGCTCCCAGTAATTGAGGTGTTTTATCTCCGTTATGCGCGCCGTGAAAGTTCTCTGTACATTTTCTAGGTCGGCAATTTCACCTGCCTTGAAAGGTGCTGTTAGAGTGCAGCAATATTCCAGCCTAGATAGAACAAGTGACCTGAAGAGTGTCATCATGGGCTTGGCCTCCCTAGTTTTGAAGGTTCTCATTATCCATCCTGTCATTTTTCTAGCAGATGCGATTGATACAATGTTATGGTCCTTGAAGGTGAGATCCTCCGACATAATCACTCCTAGGTCTTTGACGTTGGTGTTTCGCTCTATTTTGTGGCCAGAATTTGTTTTGTACTCTGATGAAGATTTAATTTCCTCATGTTTACCATATCTGAGTAATTGAAATTTCTCATCGTTGAACTTCATATTGTTTTCTGCAGCCCACTGAAAGATTTGGTTGATGTCCGCCTGGAGCCTTGCAGTGTCTGCAATGGAAGACACTGTCATGCAGATTCGGGTGTCATCTGCAAAGGAAGACACGGTGCTGTGGCTGACATCCTTGTCTATGTCGGATATGAGGATGAGGAACAAGATGGGAGCTAGTACTGTGCCTTGTGGGACAGAGCTTTTCACCGTAGCTGCCTCGGACTTTACTCTGTTGACGACTACTCTCTGTGTTCTGTTAGTGAGGAAATTATAGATCCATCGACCGACTTTTCCTGTTATTCCTTTAGCGCGCATTTTGTGCGCTATTACGCCATGGTCACACTTGTCGAAGGCTTTTGCAAAGTCTGTATATATTACATCTGCATTCTTTTTGTCTTCTAGTGCATTTAGGACCTTGTCGTAGTGATCCAGTAGTTGAGACAGACAGGAGCGACCTGTTCTAAACCCATGTTGCCCTGGGTTGTGTAACTGATGGGTTTCTAGATGGGTGGTGATCTTGCTTCTTAGGACCCTTTCAAAGATTTTTATGATATGGGATGTTAGTGCTATTGGTCTGTAGTTCTTTGCTGTTGCTTTACTGCCCCTTTGTGGAGTGGGGCTATGTCTGTTGTTTTTAGTAACTGAGGGACGACCCCCGTGTCCATGCTCCCTCTCCATAGGATGGAAAAGGCTCGTGATAGGGGCTTCTTGCAGTTCTTGATGAACACAGAGTTCCATGAGTCTGGCCCTGGGGCAGAGTGCATGGGCATGTCATTTATCGCCTGTTCGAAGTCATTTGGCGTCAGGATAACATCGGATAGGCTTGTGTTAGTCAAATTTTGTGGCTCTCTCATAAAAAATTCATTTTGGTCTTCGACTCTCAGTCTGGTTAGCGGCTTGCTAAAAACTGAGTCATATTGGGACTTGAGTAGCTCACTCATTTCCTTGCTGTCATCTGTGTAGGACCCATCTTGTTTAAGTAGGGGCCCAATACTGGACGTTGTTCTCGATTTTGATTTGGCATAGGAGAAGAAATACTTTGGGTTTCTTTCGATTTCATTTATGGCTTTTAGTTCTTCCCGCGATTCCTGACTCCTAAAGGAGTGAATGGAGACAAATGATTTTTAATACTTGACGTGCTATTGGAGTGTGAACAAAGTAACATTTATGAAGGGATTTAGTGAAACCGGCAGGCCAGACTTGAGTCCTGGAAAAGGGAAGTACAGTGTCTGCACTCTGAAGGAAGGGTGTTAGTGTTGCAGTTTTATAACTGTCGTGTAAAGCACCCCTCTGGCAAGACAGTGATGGAGTGAATGATGATAAAAGTTTTTCTTTTTCGGGCCACCCTGCCTTGGTGGGAATCGGTCGATGTGTTAATAAAAAAAAAAACAATACTGAGCCTATACAGTACACACATTACATACCTTAAAATATTTTCATCCTTAGCTTATAGTGAGTGGTGAATATATTTATTGTAGGAAGTCTGCACAAATGAACAATGGGTATAATTGAAAACCGATGTATTAGTGAAACGCTGTAAAGCAGAGCCCACCTGTATGTTATTACTGGATAAACTTATGATGTCAATTACTGGTGCAATTATTGAGAAGATAAGGTGAGTAACTTGCCTACTGTTATTAGAAACAGGTGTAATCATTCTTTATAGTCACAACTAAAGTTTTGTGTTAATATATCTTATGACATTATGCTGAGGAAGATAATCTCACTGTGAGTGGAAGCAAATGGTTTTTTGGGATTTGATGAGCTGTTGGAGTGTGAGCAGGATAATATTTTGTGAAGGGATTCAGGGAAACCTGTTAGCTGGTAGGAAGTACAATGCCTGCACTCTGAAGGAGGGGTGTGGGAAATTTGCTGTTCAGAGTGACATCTGAACTATTGTATCTACACACATCTGGAAAGACAGTGATACTGTGAATGATGGTGAAAGTGTTTCTTTTTCAGGTCACCCTGCCTTGGTGAGAAATGGCCAGTGTGCTAAAAAAAAATATAATAAATTATTTTTATAATTACCCTTCTGGATCAACTGGATTATAATTAACTTTAGTTTCATCTTCGTTCTAAGTTAGTTTTGGTAACTCTTTTTAGTACGACCAATAGACAAGCCACTCTTAGAGATAATATACTCGACCCTGATCAAGCAGGCTATTATTAATGGCATGTAATACAGGAGATGATGCACAAGTTTCAAATTCAAGTTCATTTATTTCTTTGCAAGTAGTACATTGAGATCAGATTTTTACAATGATGGGTTGCAGTGCAAAGATGCAATGCAGGGATGGAACCCTGGTAGAAAACATGGTGCTCTCTCTGAGATAACAAGAGAATGACTCTTCAGCTTGGCTTCAAACTGATGTTTCTTATTGGATGGTTTGATTTAACGTTCGTCTGTGTGTCATAATCTGTCATGTTTATTGAAGAATTCGAATGTTAGTGTTTATGTATTAACTAGTGATTGCCTCTTCTGATTTGTTTCACACTTTAAACCACAATCTAAACTTATGCCGAGAAACTGTGAGAGATGAAGAAGAGTGTGAGGTATTCAGTCCCTCAATATTGGACTGAAGAAGCAACTGCCTGGCAAAATGTTTCCAGGATAAAGATAACCAAATGTTGCACAAGTGTCCCATTTATCAACTTGTTGGTTTTCTAAACCATTTATTCAAACCTATGCTACACTTGACATCTTTCCTTCTGTATGCACTGACATGTAGCAAGCAGGGTTTGTGCAACACTGGGATACCTTCCTTGGATCACACAGTGACTGAAATATATCTATGTACGTTATTCCACTGCTCCAGCACTGTGGAAAAAAATTTCTAGTATACTTTCAGCTCCACTCCTCAATTCACTCTGCACTATTGCAATTGTATACATTGAAGCACAGGGAACTGAGGTTATCGAATACAGGGATCCCTTTCTAAGACAGTACAGTGACTAAGATACACCTAGTTGAACATACAGTCACGTCAGCTTCTCAGGAGTAAAGAACAATAAGGCACAATACCGTGACTGGAACAATACACAAATAACCCGCACGTAGGAGAAACTTTTGATGATGTTTTGGTCAGATTTGGACCATTTAGCTTCAGCAGATCATGAAGAAGATCCAAGGTGGTCAAAATATACAGATCAATTAACTGCCTGAGTTTGTCTGTATGTGAGTTATTACTGAGCATTGACAAGTGTTACACTTTATTCATTATTATGAATGTTCTAAGTATTCAATTTTCATCAAAATAAATATAATTTGGAACTGAAATTCATTCAGTGATGAACTGCCACTCCCAGCAAGTGAGCATAAATTTAACATACATACTTTACAGCTTACAATCTGCATATATACAATTATTCATTAATATAATTACACACTACTCATGGCTTTTAGGGATAGCATAATGCTTGGGGAATGGGAAGTACTCAGGTTTTAGCCAAAGAAGGATCAAGAGCTTTTCCTTAGCATCAAGACACCTCGAATGGAAACAACTATCTATAAATAGAATGAAAAATGCACAAAACACCCACACACAGGAGAGAGAAGTTTATGATGATGTTTCGGCATGACTTGAACCATTTACAAGTCACACTAACACATGAAGTTGGACTGAAACATAGTCATAAGCATCTCTCTTCTATGTACAGGTTATATGTGCATTGTTCCAGTCACAGTATTGTGCCTTTTTTGTTCTTTCTGGAAGGAAAAATGGCTTGAACAATGAAAATCAATAAACATACCTCATAGCCCAGCTTTCTGAGGAAGATCCTCACCAGGGGAGGCTCGTCACCGAAGAATTGTGTAAGCTTTTTCACTCTACCAGGATTAGAGAGTCCGGGAAGACCAGCCTTAAAGGAGTCCCATGAGACATGACCGCTCCTGGGATTGTTGCCGCCTCCGTGTCCACCACCTCCACCTCGTATCGTTGCCAGCTCCCCACGTATACTTTCAATTTCCTAGATGTTAAAAGTAATTTAGTATAATTTTTAATATGCAGAACAACCACTGTGAAAAAATTGTGAACTTCCAAGCACTTTCATGATTTCTCACATCATCTAGGATAATGCGAGAAATTACGAAACTGCTTGAGAGTTCACTATTTTTTCACAATGGTTCTGCATACTGTGGTATTACCGGTTTACTGTGATCTTATTGCATAATTTTTAATATATATTGAATATTTTGGCTAAGATGACAGCACATCATATTTTTTTACAAAAACTAAACACATTAACCTTTTCAGGGTCGAGAGGCCCTCTCCTAAACTTGTTCTCAGGTCGAAAATTTTTTGGAAAAAAAAAATTATTTTTTCTTATGAAAAGATAGAGAATCTTTTCCTGATCATAATGACACAAAAAGTATGAAATTTGACTGAAATCTTACGGAATTATGCTCTCATGAAGTTAGTGGTCTCGGCTATGTTTACGCATCTGCGATTTCGCCCACTTTGAGCCCTATTTTCGGCTAATTCTAGTGTACTAGTCGACAAAAATCATAATTATTTCGCTAGAGCTCCATTTTTTCTATCGAATGAGTACAAGAAACCACCCATTTACCGATTTCAACTGTCCAATAAAGTGGTCAGAATTTAGCAATTTTGCCAATTTCACACAAATTTCAAAAGATGCCAATTTCCAAATAGGGTCCAGAATAAACAAGACAGACATTTCTGGCACTAAAATAACATTTCCTCTGTTCATTAGTCACGTCCCCAGGCCCCTCTTACATTTCTTTTGCTTTCCACTTTGAATTTTTATTCTCATAAAAAATAGAAGATTTACTGTTATGCAGATTACAGCATTAGTGTAGAAATGATATAAATAATATCAGCGCATTTGTGAAAGAATATTAGACTCACCAGTTGACGTGTATTGGACACGTGACATGATTTGTTTACTTTTGAACTTTCGCAAAAATCGAACATTTCTGCTACTCTGAGCTCAATTTCAAGGTACTTTTCATTGTGAAACCAATCAAAACCATCTCAATTTCTGTAATATGTCTTCCATTCTATAAAATGAGACCAGCAAAACTAGAATACAACCATAAATACCATACGAAAATAGAGCGCAAAGTCACTGTTTTAACCAAAAATACAGTTTTTTTTCTCATTACGCACTGTGTGCTGCAGGATTTTTTTTATACTGTGCACACTGACCACATAGACCCATTCTTTCATATATAGGCCTACCAGCTTTCTCTCGCCAGATTTGAAGGCGCTAGAATTTACGCGTACTAATACGTCAATAACCCTGTTGAGTAAGCCGTACTAGTATATTGGAAACCCTGAATGGGTTAATCGCTAGGTAGCAGGTTGGATGACAAGAACCGCCTAGGAAGGTACTACTGTTCTGCCAAGTGAATGCAATACGGAAGCCTGCACTTGTTTTACATCATGATAGGATTGCTGGTGTCTTTTCTCTGTCTCATAAACATGCAAGATTTCAGGTATGTCTTGCTACTTCTACTTACACTTAGGTCATACTACACATACATGTACATAGAGTAGTCAGGCCATGGAATAGCCTAGAAAGTGATGTAGTGGAGGCAGGAACCATACATAGTTTTAAGGCGAGGTATGATAGAGCTCATGGGGCAGGGAGAGAGAGGACCTAGTAGCAATCAGCGAAGAGGTGGGGCCAGGAGCTGTGACTCGACCCCTGCAACCACAAATAGGCGAGTACAAATAGGTGAGTACAGTGGACCCCCGGTTAACGATACTTTTTCATTCCAGAAGTATGTTCAGGTGCCAGTACTGACCGAATTTGTTCCCATAAGGAATATTGTGAAGTAGATTAGTCCATTTCAGACCCCCAAACATACACGTACAAACGCACTTACATAAATACACTTACATAATTGGTCGCATTGGGAGGTGATCGTTAAGTGGGGGTCCACTGTATATACACACCACTCTTCCTCCTTGATTCGCCGGTACTCTCAAGGCCCAGGTCTTTTCCAGATGGTGACCCGGCCTTGGCTCCCTGTCTTGGGAGTGTCTGAGACCTATGTCACCCATGGGAGGCAGTACAAGTACCTCCTCATCTTCTGGGACCAACTGTCCCCAGGCCTAGCCCTATTTCCCGCCCTCACGGGGCTCATAGGGAGAAGCTAGGCCTCTGGTCTGCCATCGGCCCCACCCCAGGTAGGGCTCGCGGGAATAGCAGTCTTGTGAGCTGCAGGTGGTAGCAAGCTCTAGCTCTGGCACCTTCCCTGCCCTAGAAGGGCTTATGGGAGTGGTGTCCAATATACACACCCCTCTGGATTTTCTTCTATTTTCTTACTAGTTCTTGCTCTTGTTTATTTCCTCTTATCTCCTCTGTAAGTCATGCGTGTCATAAGAGGCGACTAAAATACCAGGAGCAAGGGTCTAGTAACCCCTTCTCTTGTGTATATTACTAAATTTAAAAGGAGAAACTTTTGTTTTTCTTTTTGGGTCACCCTGCCTTGGTGGGATACGGCCAGTACATTGAAAGAAGAAAGAACACATTAATCATCCGAAGTGACTGATTAATGTTAACTTCAAATGTTAACTTTTGTGAGCTATGTATTAATGTGAATGACTGAGTATTAGGAACAAACCTAGATGGAGACAATGAAATGAGGACCTTAGATTGAAACAAAAATATCCAACAAACAAATAAAATTACATACTTTAAAAAAAAAAAAAGTTCACAATGTACACAGAACAGCACATCATCCCAAGAAACATTCAGACTTCAAGCTGGACAGAATTCACCAATGGAGCAACTAGTCACAAATAATTTCAGCCATATCTTAGTAATAAATTTCTTAATTTATGTCATTCTGAATCAGTTAGGTAAAGTTAAGTAAGATTGTTGTTTTTTCAATGCACCGGTTGTATCCCACCAAGGCAGGGTGACCCAAAAAGAAAAACATAATTTTTCTTCTTTAAATTTAGTAATTTATACAGAAGGGGTTACTAGCCCCTTGCTTCTGGCATTTTTGTCACCTCTTACAACACGCATGGCTTACGGAGGAAGAATTCTAACTTTTATACATATATCAATAAGATTAACCAATCATAACACACCTAAACATAGATAAATAAATATAACATAACCTCAATGAAAAGTTTTGAAGCACAAACAGAAAAAGTAGACCCACCGCAAACACAAGGAAATACACAATCATATAATTACTGTTCACGAACACTCGTTTGCCTGTCTTAGCAACAGTGAAATACCAACTGTTACTAAGAGGATGGCCTGTAAAATATACAGAACTTTTCTCTCATGTCTTTGACTGTGTGTGGGCTGGTTCTTACTGAGAATGTTTATGACACACTGATGTTCCATTACGACTATGCTCACTTGATGAACACACCTAAGTAGTTCACCTCTGAATCCATTATGTGCTTTCATACTCACCTATTTGTGGCTGCAAGGGTCGAGTCACAACTCCTGGCCCCAACACTATTGTTGTAATCAGTTTGTGCTCATTAATTTTGTGACAATCTATTATCCTGGTAAACTTCATTATTAAAGAAGTTAGAAAATTTGCTTAACCTAACAGAATGTTGTGGGTGACCACTGCCCAGAGGATGGGTATGGTGTAACTTCTGTTTATAGGATGGGTATAAGATGACTGCCACCTATAGGATGAGTATGGTGTGACTACCACACACAGGCTGGATATGGTGTAACTATTGTTTATAGGATGGGTACTAGGTGACTACCACCCACAGGATGGATACAGTGTGATTACCACCCACAGGATGGGTAGGTATGATTACCGCCCACAACACTGGCATACAAAGACTATCATCCACACTGCTGTGAGGTATGTACTTACAGAACAGCACATGTTAAGGTGAGCTGTGTATTACAAAAAGTCAAAAATATATATTCACTATGTACATATTGTAAACAGAGATTTTACTGTACCTGAAACATGAGGTGTTGTGTGCGCATCTCAGAGCTGAGGTGTGCCACACTCCGTGCTAGTGTTACCACATGACTCTCAAGTCGCTGAAACCGCTTGTGTATCGACTGAAACATTATCATTATAATTATAAGGCTCATGTATTGACTGAAAAGTAAATTATCATTATTATTATTATAAATATTATTACTTTTTTTTTTTTGCACAATGGCTGTCTCCCATTGAGGCAGCATGACCCAAAAAATAAGAAACATCATCATCACTCACTCCGTAACTATCTTGTCAGATCCATGCCAATACTACAGTTCAAAACTGTAAATATCCCCAAACCTCCTTCAAATTGCAGGCATTGTACTTTCTGCCTCCAGGACTGTAACATCCTCACTCATCCTTTAGAATGCAGGCACTGTACTTCCCACATCCATAACTGTAATATCCCCGCCCATCCTGTAGAGTGCAGGTGCTCTACTTCCCACCTTCAGAACTGTAGCATCACCACTCATCCTTCAGAGTGCAGGCACTGTACATCCCACCTCTGAGGCTCAAATTCAGTTAACCAGTTTCCCTGAATCCCTTCATAAATGTTACCTTGCTTACACTCCACAAGAGGAGGCAGTCAGGTTTGATCTAAGGAAAAGGCAAGTAGCTCACTTTATTTGTATCAAGAGCCCATCAGCAGCATCAAGATACCCCTCTTCAAGGGTGTATCATCAGAAAGTCATGAATTTTTGGCCTAACATTAAAAGTTCTTCAACCATTGTAAACACATCTTGTCAAGCATGATTTACAATTAAACCAGGGTACGGGTGGGGTTAGAACCTATGCCAAGTGAGTCATAAAACTCTAGGCCGGTGTGTAAACCATTGTGCCCCCCAAAAAACAGCATGTTAGTGGCTTTCTTTGTACTTAACAACACTTATAAAATGTAATCACTCATTGTAACCTTCGCAAAGAAATAAAATTCGTTTGTGTTATTATGATTTTGTGAGTCATGATTTATAATTTATTTAGTCTAACTTTTATCCAAGCAGAAATTAAAAACTATTTTCCTGAATGTTTACATTTTAATAAAATCTAATTTTCAGACTTAAAAAAAAAGTGGGTTTCATTCAGGTCTTGTAAAAGACAATGTATTTTTCTTAACCACACACCTATGTACTGAAAATGACTATAAATAAGGATCGTAATATATACTGTATAAGCTTACAATGATCTTGCTAATAGACTTCAATTTGAAGGCTAGCTGTGAATGTAACTTATTACTGTACATATAACTGTGGTTAATTGCATAAAAAATCCTACTTAACCCTTTCAGGGTCCAGAGGCCAAATTTCAAAGTGTGCACCAGGGTCCAAGAATTTTCAAAAAATAATTTTGTTATTTTTTCGTATGAAATGGTAGAGAATCTTTTTCTGAAGGTAATAAAACAAAAAGTACGAAATTTGACGGAAAATTGACTAAATTATGCTCTCGCGAATTTTCATGTATCAGTGATATTTACGCATTGGCGATTTTGCCGACTTTGACCCCCATTTTAAGCAAATTACATTATTCCAGTCGACCAACTTCTTAGCTGTTTCACTAGTATTACTTCTATTCTATCGATTGAGCGCAAGAAATCGCCAAGTTAACTGTTTCAATTACAAAGTAAAGTGATCGGAAAGTGGTAACTTGGCCAATTTAACCCTTTGAGGGTCACCAGGCCCTCTCAGAGACTTGCTCTCAGGGTTGCCAAAATTTAAAAAAAAAAATTATTTTTTCTTATGAAAAGATAGAGAATCTTTTCCCGATCATAATGACACCAAAAGTATGAAATTTGATGGAAAACTTACGGAATTATGCTCTCGCGAAGTTAGTGGTCTTGTCGTGATTGTGACTAGACCTACCTGGAGTTCATTACCTTTGTAAATTGTGAATTCATTACCTCTGTAACTTGCTCAGCCATCAAACTTTGAGGCCCAGTCCCTGGAGCCATTATGTACCTCTGTAATCTTTTGACTACCGCCCACAGGATGGGTATGAGGTGCATAATAAACATATTAAACTAACTTGATGATGTTTACGCATTGGCGATTTTGCCCACTTTGAGCCCTATTTTCAGCCAATTCCAGTGTACTAGTTGACAAAAATCATAACTATTTCGCTAGAACTCCGTTTTTTTTCTATCGAATGAGTACGAGAAACCACCCATTTACCGATTACATTTGCACCAATAACTCATTACAGTTGTGACCGGGTGTGGAAGTGTGAATTGCTCATTACTCTATAATTTGTTCATGATTGTAGCCATGTATAAACGTAAGTAACCATTCTACAGAATTCATTACCTTTGTAACTTGTGAGCTCATTACCTTTGTACCTAGTTCAGCTATCAAAACTTTGGGGGCCCAGTCCCTGGACCCATTACGTACCTCTGTAATCTGTAAATACCTTTGTAACTTGTCATGATTGTGACCAGACCTACCTGGAGTTCATTACCTTTGTAAATTGTGAGTTCATTACCTCTGTAACTTGCTCAGCTATCAAAACTTTGGAGTCCAGTCCCTGGACCAATTATGTACCTCTGTAATCTTTTGACTACCGCCCACAGGATGGGTATGGGGTGCATAATAAACATATTAAACTAAACTAACTACCGATTACAACTATTCAATAAAGTGGTCAGAATTTAGCAATTTTGCCAATTTCACACAAATTTCAAATATGCCAATTTCCAAATAGGGTCCAGAATAAACAAGAAAGACATTCCTGGCACTAAAATAACATTTCTTCTGTTCATTAGTCACATCCCCACGCCCCTCTTACATTTCTTTTGCTTTCCACTTTGAATTTTTATTCTCACAAAAAACAGAAGATTTACTGTTATGCAGACTACTGTATTAGTGTAGAAATTGTACAATACCAGCGCACTTGTGAAAGAATATTAGATTCACCAGTTGACATGTATTGGACGCGTGGCATGATTTGTTTACTTTTGAACTTTGGCAAAAATTGAACATTTCTGCTACTTTGAGCTCAATTTCAAGGTACTTTTCATTGTGAAACCAATCAAAATCATCTCAATTTCTGTAATATGTCTTCCATTCTATAAAATAAGACCAGGAAAACTAGAATACAACCATAAATACCATACGAAAATACAGTGCAAAGTCGCTGTTTTAAACCAAAAACATGGTCAAAGTTTTTTTTTCTCATTACGCACTGTGTGCTGCAGGATTTTTTTTATACTGCGCACACTGACCACATAGACCCATTCTTTCATATGTAGGCCTACCAGCTTTCTCTTGCTAGATTTGAGGGTGCTAGAATTTATGCGTACTAGTACATCAAAAACCCTGGCGCGTAAGCCGTACTAGTACAGCCGAAACCCCAAAAGGGTTAATGCAAAGTTCAAAATATTCCAATTTCAAAATAGCGTCCAGAATAAACAATGCAGCCATTCCTGGCACTAAACTAACATTTCCTTTGTTCATTAGTTACGTTTTCAGGCTTTACAAATGAATTCCATTTTGATTTTTATTCACAATGAATTTTTATTCAAACAAAACAAAAATAGAAGATTCACTGTTATGCAATATTGTAATAATTGTATAAATAATATCACCACATTTGTGAACGTATATTAGACCCACCAGCTGACACGTATTAGACGTGTGAGGTCATTTGTTTAATCTTGAACATCGGCAAAAATTTAACATTTCCGCTAATTTGAGCTCAGTTTCAAGCCATTTCCGGTACTAAAACCAATCAAAATCATCTCTATTTCTTAATGTGTCTTCATTCTATCAAATGAGACCAAGAAATCGCAAATACAACTATAAAAAACGTATGAAAAAACACTGCAAAGTCACTGTTTTAATAAAAAATTATGGTCTCAGTTTTTTTCTCTCATTGTGCACTGTGTGCTGCAGGATTTGTTTTATGTGGTGCACACATACCACATAGATGTATTATCTCATATCTAGTCCCAAATTTACCGCTCTCAGCTTATCAGAGTGAGCTGAGCTCATGACGTAGATCTACGGTTTGGACCCTCAACTCAAAGCCGTAGAACTACGGCATGGACCCTGAAAGGGTTAATAGTCTATGTCAAGTTCTTATTAATCTTTTAAGCATTAGGTTAGTTTGTCTGAAATGTTTTGCAATCTACAGTAAGTTCTCAACTCACTAACACATTGAGAATCTACTGTAGTGTGTATATCATTATTATATAATTACTGTGTATTACCTGGAGTTTACCTGGAGAAGGTTTCGGAGTTTAATGCCCCCATGGCTCGGTCTGAGACCAGGCCTCATGGTTGATCAGGGTCTGATCAACCAGGCTGCTACTGCCGGCCACACGCAAACTGTCGTATGAACCACAGCTCGGTTAGTCAGGTACCGACTTTAGGTGCCTGTCCAGTGCCTTCTTGAAGACAGCCAGGGGTCTATTGGTAATCCCCCTTATATATGCTGGGAGGCAGCTGCAAAGTCTTGGGCCCCAGACACTTACTGTGTTGTCTCTTTGTACTCGTGGCACCCCTGCTTTTCATTGGGGGAAGGCTGCATCTCCTGCCGAGTCTTTTGCTTTCATAGGGAGTGATTTTCTTGTGCAGGTTTGGTACCAATCCCTCCAGGACTTTCCAAGTGTATATTATCATGTATGCAAACAATCGCAGATGGGCGATCTTAACTATGCAAGACAAGCCACGGGAAGGGGGGAGGAATCTTTAGCTCAAGTACTTTCACACTTCTCAGTGCATCATCAGGAGCTGTGCAATGTTGCAAGAGAGCAACCAGAGCAGGGAGAGAGGTCTCAGAGTAGCGTAGGTGTCACTGGCCATAGTTACCCTTAGAGTCAATCAATCAATCAAGTTTATTCTCTATAAGGATTACAATGCGGGGTTTACAGATTTTGGATATTGTGTGGTTTACATGTTATAAAATATTAATTACAGAAGGGACCACTAGGACACCTAGCATGGCTAGGCATTTCAGGCAGACTTAGATTAATTCTTCACTCTATATTATTACAAATTATGGAGTAAGTTGGTATTATGGCTAAGTGACTAAATCATAGTTTGTGAGTTTAGCAATGTGAATGCTTTTGTTTTGGCACAATACATAG